ATATTGAACTTTAGAGGAGTAAAAGATGTTAATTTGATAGAATTAGGTCTCTGTGACGGCAAACGATAAACTGAATTACTCGCCGGTCACTCTACCGCAAGACAGAAATTACTGGCAATGAGTAATTTACCTGATGCAACGCCTCTGATATTTCATTGACCTTGCTTAATAAGTGTAATATCATAATTCTTTACCATGACTGATACCAGGAAAGAGTTTACCGGTACCAGAAAGTACCAGGAAATAAGTTGGCCTTTGAGGGATTGGTGATCGTTATGGTGAAACTGAACCACGTTCTCAATGTATTTAATAGGATAGGACATAGGCAGAAAATTTCACGGAACTGAACAATTTCTAAACTATGATGAGAAAATAATAAATGGACAATAATAAACTGTGGTCTTGGATCTGTTTATCAATTTGTATGGTGTATGGTATTTGGTAAGATTCGCGCGGATCAGGGTTTCCTAAGTATCATATTTGACACATACGGTGGAAGACCGTTATTACGGTCACTAACGGTTGCCGTGTTGACGAGGAAGGGTCAAATTTCATGGCTGGTCTATTCCAAGTGACGTCCTCACATATATAATACAACTGCACTCTTAAAAACTGTTCCTTAATAAGCATCCATAATGCAGATATAATTTTAAAAAGTTGAAACTTCAATCATTACATGCAGTATTGTTTCTCAATATTTGATTTGTTTGTTTAAAATTGGTTTGAATTGCCCTATTAACGTGGTAAAATTATAGAGGATTATACAGGTTAGGATTTCAGAATGTGGTCGTATTAACGGGGCGGCCGCAGGTTTGCTAATAAGAAATGTATGGGCCTTTCGCGTAGACAAAATATGGCCATAATAACAAGGTGACCGTAAGGCAGGGTTCCATTGTAATTCAAANGTTACGGTCACTAACGATTGCCCTATTAACGAGGAAGGGTCAAATTTCATGAGTGGTCTATTCCAAGTAACGTCGTCACAAATATAATACAACTGCACTCTTAAATAACTGTTCCTTAATAAGCATCCGTAATGCAGATATAATTTTAAAAAGTTGAAACTTCAATCATGATCATTACATGCAGTATTGTTTCTCAATATCTGATTTGTTTGCTCAAATTTGGTTTGAATTGCCCTATTAACGCGGTAAAATTATAGAGGATTATACAGGTTTGGATTTCAGAATGTGGTCTTTGGTCGTATTAACGGGGCGGCCGCAGGTTTGCGAATAAGAAATGTATGGGCCTTTCGCGTAGACAAAAAATGGCCATAATAACAAGGTGACCGTAAGGCAGGGTTCCATTGTAATTCTAATAAGAACTGCTGATTTGAAACCAATTTTTTTGTGAAACGAATGGCTAATGCAATAATGTGTTTCTTGTCTTGCCAGAAT